AAAGTGCATATGAGGCAACGAGCCCCTGGGCACAGACATGCAACGAGCGTCCCGTGTATGCACGCTTACCCATTACATGATTTGATTTGAGATGACTTCTGTTGGCAGTAACACACATAAGCTGTTCATTGCTCATTCATTTGGAAAATATTAACATAAGACTCACAGTAGGATGAAGATGAACCACAGCAAAGCTTAGGGAGAAATATAGATTGGTTTACTGAAGTGACTTAGTTTAATACTGCCACTCAACTGAGCTTTGTTTAAAGATTAAATATGGCACAAGAAATATTGAAATAGGACATATTTGTTAGGAACCTTGACAGACACTTGGACTCAAACGCACGACTCAAAAGAAAGTTTGTTCAAAAAAGTCTTTACTTTGGAAAAGTGTAAAGTTCAAACAAAAATCACTCAGAGGCAAAACGTAGCAAAGGAAATTACAAACTAAATAAACTTGACTATGGTCACAAAGTACAATAATCTCTTGGCGAGACAAGCTGGCTCTCTAAATGACACAAGACGAACTGGCACAGGACAAAGGGAGACAGGACTATTTAGAGGTAAGGGGGAACAGGTGGAAACAATCAGGGGCGGGGCAGACGCTGACGATGGCGGGAAAACACACAAAGGGAGGAAGTAAGGGGACCTGAAATGAGAGACAAGAGGTAAGTACAAAATAAAACAGGAAGTGCAATGACAGGACTAGACAGGTGAACAAAATGACTAAACATAAATCTAACCTGGGCTATGAACTAAATGTGAAATAACATGAACCTGATTAACATGACATGAATAATTTAGCAGACATGACGGGATGTTACAATATTTCTAAGGATTATTGACAGAAAATAATGAAAATGAACACAATAACAGTCCAGAACTCAAACATACTCAACCTGTTACTATTAAAAACTGAGAAATGGTACATCCCAACACAAAAGCTGGAACCTTTATTTATCGATTTATTGATTTTATAAAAATAAATTGCTGTCTTTGTGAGAGGGAATTGATCAGCTCTAAACTTCTCAAAAAGGGTTAGGAGGAAACTAAATTGCAGGAGATGCAATACGTTTTTAGGCAACATATAATTATCTGAATGAGGTATTTTGTTGCTGCGGAGATGAGAAATGTTATTGTATAGATTTAAGGAAATAAATCAAAAACTGAACCATGATTTTTTTAAATATGTTTTCCAAATAAATTGATGTTGTAAAAATAACAATTCCCTCCAATATCTTAAATCACGTTGCGATATCAGTCATTAATCAAACCACGATTATGTATGTTTTTCAGCCCTAATGGAGACGATGCTCTGTATTATGGATCATCTCCATCCTTCTGATGGCAGTTACACATCCGTGAACACGAGGCAGATGACGTGTGGAGTAAACTGCCATTAAATCCCTCGGCTTTCGAGTTATAGCGGTTCATTTTGTTCCCTGTCGATCGCGCGCCGTCCTTCAGCGCTTCTCCATCCTGAGTAATTGGAGAAAGTGAAACCAGTTGTGTAGAGAGCTGAGACTCAGCCAAACAAACGTTGAACTGTGACTCTGCTCTTGGCATATAGTCAGCGCTCATTATTTCTCCCTGTAGCTTTCCGCCTTTCCTTCTCCCAGCAGTCGGTCCTTTAAAGAGACGGCTTCCAGAGTGATGCCCTTGAGGGTGGGAGCAGGGGGTCCACAGCTAAACAAAGACAAGTTGGCATCTAACCTTTATTAAATATTGATGTGACGCTGAATGAGAGTTCATCCTAGAGCCAAATGACAGCCATCTTCAACGCCACGTCTGAAAATCACAACTCTTCACCCATGTTGCTTTTTGAAGTTAGACTGTAATGGGAAATGCAAATATTGAGCTTTCATGGTTTGAAAACGAATCATACAAAGTAGGGCTGCTCAATTAATTGTATTTTAATCGCAATTACGGTTTTGGCTTGTAACGATTATGAAAACAACATAATCGAAATAAAACGATTATTTATATTTTATTTATTTTTATTGGTTTTTCAGTTGAATTATACTTAAAGTTCAGGGTACTCAACTGTTAAAACATACTGTTCACATTTTCGTTTCAATAAATGGATGTTTTCAAAGTAAATGGATAATCGTTTTTTAATAATTGTGATATCAATTATTGACCCAAATAATCGAGATTATGATTTTTGCCATAATCGAGCAGCCCTAATACAAAGAGAAATTATGACTTTTACCCTCAGTTTAAGATTTCAAATTCAAGTTTTAGAGAGGCCTAATGTTCAGTCTATAGGGAAAAGCTTTTTTGTAAGGGTTGCATGGCATTGCAGTTGGCCAATGGGATAAATTGGCAACAATTAGTTTTTAAAGCAAGCGGTACAAGAGAATCAAGGAAAATTCAATGTACTATCATCCTGTTATCATCCCTTCTTTCCTTGTGTTTATAATGTGGTAATTATATATCCAATTGAAGAAGACCGAGTGCAAGACTTCTTTGTTACTCTCTCGATTGCACTGGTTATTTTTGAATGTTCTCAGTGGTGTTTTTCCTCTGTGTTTCGCAGTCATGCGGAGGAACCCCTTCGTGGTGGAGGGCTGCTGTCGGAAAGGATCCCGCAACGCCCTGCAGGAACTCTACAACCCCACACAGGTAGGAGGTTTGCATCTAACTGTCCTGACCTTCATCTCTTCCTGTTTGCACTCTGCTCCTCTCCAGCTGTCAGACGCTGAGGCTCTGACCCCAGCTGGCATGTGGAACGTCCTGTGAACACTTCCATCGTTTTTCTTTGCTTTTAATAACAAAGGATTGTTCCTTGTTGTGCCTTGATGTCCTCTTGACACCCTGTGAAAACTCCAGAGAATAAAATAGCATTAGCATTAATCAGTGGCGAACCGTCAGGGCCTTCAAGGTATTCAGAGCATGGAACACTCAGATAAAACAAACAAAAAATCAATTTAATTATATAAATAAAATGTATAATAAATGAGAATGGTATCCGTGTTGTTGATCTGTAATATTACAGTGTTACGTTGATTTGTTTGTCCTTCTCGGACCATGCACTACGCATTTCAGTGGTTTTGTGTTAGAAAAGAAAGCAACCAATCAGATCTTGTTCTGGGTCTCTGGGAAGAATATCCTTCACCAAGGTATTCTACATCCTTGATCGAATGCCCTGGCCGTTGCACTGAATGAGAGCGTACGTTTGGACTGACAGTTTGATCAACCAATCATATATTGGTTTGTAGCCAATGGGCGTGTTCTTCCAGAGTTCCCCTCGGTTCCAGGGTATTCTAGAAGGCCCGCTAGTTAACTGGCTCGAGACAGAGGATCTAGAATGAATGCGACGAAGCAATTCATGCCGTTTTATTGTTTGTAACGTTGAAATAGCAAGTGCAACAGGTGGAGATGAAGTTGTTGAGGAATTGTTGTGAGTACTCTTTTCAAGACGACAATTCAGCAGTGTTGGGCAAGTTACTTTTAAAACGTAACTAGTAATAGTTATAGTTACTGCTCTCAAAAAAGTAACTAGTTACTTTATTAGTTACTAAATTATAAAAGTAACACGTTACTTTACTTTGAAAATAATAAAGACAACATCATCATCGGCATCGGCGGCGGGGTGTGTGTGTCTACAGACAGTTGTGATAGACACGGTTCGCCACTGGCATTAATAGTTGCTATCGTCCAACAGTAAGTCGGGAAATGTCGCAGGCTTGAGGCGATAAAGCTGTCTTCCAGAAATCTAAACGGTCACAAGAAGACATGTTTTTTTTTTGCCAATTTTAAGTAAATACACTCTGCAAGAACAGAGCAGGAGAAAGACAAAACTACTTCAACAAAGTGTTCGGCGTCAGCAGCTGGTAATCCTCTCTGTGTCTGAGAGAATCAGGACTATTATTGCACCGTCATTGTCTGTTCCAACACAGCGAAGCCTCACATCATTTAGCTCTGCACCATCTAGATTCATGAGCCATCTGAGAACATGACACCTGCTACTACATGATTGCCGTCATGAAGTTCAGGCGAATTATTGCTGCTTTCTTAATGGCTTCTCTCTTTTATTGGGCAGTTTACAATGAGGAGGGAGGATGACAGACTGAGAGGAAGGAGCTGACTAAGGTCTTATCCTGCTGTTAGTTGTTACTATTAAAGAGGATCTATTCAGTTCCTTTCCTGTTGTGTGTTATAGGTTTTTGTGCATGTAAATGGTTTCCGAACGCCTCCATTGGACTCCTTTGTTTATTTCTTGAACATGTGATGTCACTAAATGATACTTGCGATTCTATTGACTAGCGCTCCAACACATTGTATGTGATAGGCTAAGGGGCGGGACATCTCTAAGCAGGTTGACCAATCACAACAGAGCCGGCTAGCTAACCAATCAGAGCAGACTGAGCTCTGGTTTCAGACAGAGGGTGAAAAGAGGTGCTGCAGCACAGACAGTATGAGACAAATAAAGAGCTTTTTAAACATTAAAGCATGGAGACATGTAGAGACACTACATACTGATATACACCTGAACATCAGCAGGAGAGGACTCTTTAAAGTAGAGACACTACATACTGATATACACCTGAACATCAGCAGGAGAGGACTCTTTAAAGTAGAGACACTACATACTGATATACACCTGAACATCAGCAGGAGAGGACTCTTTAAAGTAGAGACACTACATAGCTGATATACACCTGAACATCAGCAGGAGAGGACTCTTTAAAGTAGAGACACTACATCTGATATACACCTGAACATCAGCAGGAGAGGACTCTTTAAAGTAGAGACACTACATACTGATATACACCTGAACATCAGCAGGAGAGGACTCTTAAAGTAGAGACACTACATACTGATTATACACCTGAAACATCAGCAGGAGGAGTCTTTAAAGTAGAGACACTACATAACTGATATAACACCTGAACATCAGCAGAGAGGACTCTTTCAAGTCGAGACACTACATACTGATATACACCTGAACATCAGCAGGAAGGACTCTTTAAAGTAGAGACTACTACATACTGATATACACCTGAACATCAGCGGAGGAGAGGACTCTTTAAAAGTAGAGACACTACATACTGATAGTACACCTGAACATCAGCAGGAGAGGACTCTTTAAAGTAGAGACACTACATACTGATATACACCTGAACATCAGCAGGAGAGGACTCTTTAAAGTAGAGACGCTACATACTGATATACACCTGAACATCAGCAGGAGAGGACTCTTTAAAGTAGAGACACTACATACTGATATACACCTGAACATCAGCAGGGGAGGACTCTTTAAAGTAGAGACTCTACATACTGATATACACCTGAACATCAGCAGAAGAGGACTCTTTAAAGTAGAGACACTACATGCTGATATACACCTGAACATCAGCAGGAGAGGACTCTTTAAAGTAGAGACACTACATGCTGATATACACCTGAACATCAGCAGGAGAGGACTCTTTAAAGTAGAGACACTACATGCTGATATACAGTTAAAGTAACAACACCCATATTCACGACAAACAAATCCAAAATGTTGGTAGAAATAAGTAGATTCATTATAATTGATCAGAATTCTGTAAAACAATTCAAATCTGAATTTTTGGTTTCACACAATTTATCCCATTAACTACAAATCTTGTCTATTCTTCGTTAATTACTGCCGACTACTTTCCGAAGCATAAGATACATTTTAGGATGATTTCCCACCTTCCGGGCAGCCAATATTTTTAAAAGAGCTTTGTTGGCGGCCAACTCACCTTACAGGACGCTGCCAAAAAGGATTGCATTCACAAGCTGTATTGTGAGGAAATTACATTTGCAAGGCCAAAGTCACATTTTGTAATAAGGGAACATGCTGACCAAGTAATTGATTTAATTTCAAACCTTTATTTAACGAGATTGGTCCCATTGAGTTCATAGATCTCTTTTTCAAGGGAGACCTGCAGCAAATAGGTTCCACATGAAACATAAAACAATAAAGGACATTATACATTATATTTACAGGATACATTTACATAGTTATAGACATTTACAAGTGCCCATAGTATCAACGAGCATTTCATTTAGCCTAGCTTTAAAAACATGCAGAGGAATGAGATTGCTCAGTTTCAATTCTTGCTGAAGATTGTTCCAAGCAAGTGGAGCTGATAACCTTTATGCTCCTTTTATGTAGAATTTCTGTGCGATTAAAGAAGACATACATCAGAAGACATCAGCTTTCATATTTGTATTTAGTGGCTCTACTGTGACAAAATGTTCAAAAAGCTCTTTATTTATTGGATTTTCTCGAACTGAAGGGATTTTGTATTAAAGTGACCGCTAATATCCTGGAGTTCAGTAATATGTTATTCTGATTTTTAAGTAGTCCCAGTCGAGCATTAAGGCCCAGACACACCAAGCCGATTTTGGCCGTCGATGGGCGTCGACACGCCCTACTCAGATTGGTGTGTCCCGCACCGTCGTGTCTTTTCAGCCGTGCCGACACCTTTTCGGCCGAAAACCCACCGATTCTACATGTCGAATCGGTGGGCAGTCGGGCAAAGGCTGTCGGCAAAATAAATCACTCTGATTGGCTGTTCAGCTAGAGAATCAGTGCATGAGAAGCGAAACGGAAGTGAGGGACCCAAACAAACTATTAAGAAGGCAAATCTGAGATTTCATTTAACTCCAGCTCTCGACTCAGGTTCGGGAAAGCCCCGTGAGCTTCTCGCTGTAGAGTGAGAATGGAACGCACACGCTATTTGTTGTTTGTTTATATCACGCTGTCTGTTCTTCTTCTCTCGGTTATCACGCAGTCTGTCTTCCGGTTGTTGCGTCTTTTGAATGACGAATACACACTACCGCCGCCTGCTGGTAAGGAGAGTTATTGCCACTCACGCATGTGCAGTTCGTACGTGCTTCTTGGCCGTCGGCTGAAGTCTTTGCGGTGTGTTCCAGTGCGACACATGGCAGAGACGCAGAGCCAACAGTCGGGTCCGTCTGTGTGAGTTCTTTGGTGTCAGCTTGGTGTGTCCGGGCCTTTAGTGGCAGGATTATCTGACAGGTTGTAAGCAGTTTTTGCAGATTACGTATGGAGCTCATGCAGCTTTTATTTGAAGGTAAAACCAACTGGGAAAATAATTGGCATGCTTCCACCATCCTCTCTGCAGGAGATATTTGAGGAGATAGTGAGAAAGCAAGGCCGTAAAATCACATGCGACCCCAAACACATCCTGTATAGAGAGTTTGAGTTGCAGAAGGTATAGATTACCAAACCATGGATCATTTGACAAGAAAAATTTAGAGATCTTTTCATGGACAGTTTTGGGTCTTTCTTTCCAAATTCATTTGACAGCTTAGATGTATGTTGTTCTCACATCCGACAGCTTTGCTTGTTATCTTAGGCTCTAATTTTAGCAACACTCAACACATACTTTGGGGAGTACATTGCTATTACAATCAACAAAGCTACAAAGAACTCAAACTACCAGGTTTTAAGATACAAAAATAAAGTTGTAAAAGGTGTTGTTCTGTTTGCCTTAGACCTCTGAGTGTCCTTGCATGCATCATGAGTATTCAAAACAGTCCCTGCCTCCTGTGGTAATGTAATTCTGACAAAAGGTCCTAAAATGTTGGCGGTGATGGATTACCAATCTCCACAAGTGGACGGA